CTAAGTTCAGTTTTCTTAAATAAGTTTCAACAATTACGGCAACAGGCACAAAAAAAAGCCGCGAATAAAGAAATTAATGGCCGCGAATGTAGGAATTGAGTCGCATTTTTTCAATCCATGAATAGCGAAAACGCGAATGAAGGAAGCGCGAATAAAGAGCTTTTACTGTATTTAAACACGGGGAGATAAACTATACTTTAATGGGGAGCATAGATGGCCGAAACCCTCACCTCCCAGTGGTGATCCCCGGGCAACGGCTTCGGCCGGCTAAGAAGGGTTTAAGGTTTTGGGCTACTAACTCGGCGACGAGTTTCTGAGAGATCGTGGAGGGGTTGGCTGGAAGATGAACTCTTCACTCAATAGCTAGTTACTACCTAGGAAATTTCTGAATGGAATTAAGTACGTAGAAGGTAGTAATCTAGCGAGTGCATGGTAGATCGCCCTTGCCATGTCAGTGCAATACCCGAGACCTATATATCTCTTTGTTCATAAAGTCGTAACGGAATAAAAATTTTTCTCAAGAGTAGAGTTAATGATACAAAAAAGGAATTGACGGATGGCCTTCCCATTGGCCTTCTTGAGAATTAATACATGCAAATATTATTAAAAAAGGGATTTGACGGAAGGCTTTTTCCCCTTTTGCCTATATACTTTTGAATATATGTCACGGGTGCCTGCGGGTAATGGTGGTAATTGATCAACGGCGCCGTGGAAGCTTTATGGTGGAAGCGAGCGCAATTTTTCCCTTTTGAACGAATATCGTTGATCAATTTGTGAGTCTTGACTGCTTGGATGCGGCCTTTCGAGAAGTACTCGTGGTGGTTGTGTTTGGCAATTCCTAGCCAAAGTGGAATAATCGAGTGCAGCTAGGCCTCACACTAACCAGAGTGACGGTTCATACGGCCATACACGGTGAACCATCTGCGCACCTTAGGGTAAGAAAGGCCCCCTTATTAGGGGATTGTCTTTCCCCCCGGGGGGTGATCACTCAACTCAATTGAGTGCCTATGGTTGTAGGCAACCCGTCTGATTAAGGCAGCAAGCCAGGTGCAGACGTTAAACACACAGAGCGATCTGTGCTTAAACACGGTCGAAAAACAGCCTTCGTTTAGCTTAAATATGCAACCGCCATAAATATTTATGAAGTAGGTATTTGAGAACATCATAAATACAAATCAAAATCTTGTGGAATCATCCTTATATTTTTGTGACATTTTTCATTATCGTGTAGACATATCATTTGAAACGATCTTGCAAAAATTTCTTGAACGTCGCCCTTCTCAAAGAGTGATCTTACCGAATGATTCTCTTTGTGTGATTCATGCAATTCTTTTGCTTCAATTTTCCACAAGTCACTTGGTGTTATAGTAATAATTATTTGATCGTAATTGACTCCAATACAATCTTACTCCTAACTGTAACGGCAGACTGCAAGATCTTTGCCAATTTCCTGTGGATAGTTGTAAATCGCAGTCCATCTTTTAAGTTACCTGAGGATCCGTATCATCCAGCAATTTCTACTTGCTTTTATTACAGACATAATGGCCCGTTGAAATACTCTAATATACCAAATCAAATTTTCTCAAATAAATATTGTGATTTTAATAAAACTAATATTTCACAGCTTTAATCTTATTTTTCACAACTTATGCTCGTTTTTTATGTTGGGAATATTGAAACCTTACTATCTTCGTTCTGCTACTTATGCATCCGTTTCAATCAAGCAACCTCACCCTCGCAGCAGGTGCATGCTATAGTTTAAAAAGACAATTAAATATTACAAAAATAGGAAAACCAAACTTTTCAGAAAATATATGAAAACTACTACTACTTAAGACTCATTCTGCTGGAAGGCACACATTTAATTACCTCGACAACCAGATGCAGATACGTTCAGTTGATCAAATCCTATTGCTTGTTATTCCTAGATATTTTTTAAGTTTGTCCACTCCAAAAGAAAAGTCTCCATATAGCCCCCGCATGTTTCTTTCAACGACTGTGAACCCTCTTATGATATTGAGGCCTTAAATATCTGTGCTGAATACTTCGGACGAAATTTTTCAACTGCTGATTCCAATTCAAATGTTAGCAATTTCTTTTTGATAACTAACCCGGTTTTGATTCGTAGTTTGGTAATTTCGGAAAATGATGTTTTACATGATTTGAGGCCTTTAAACTATAGTTACCCGCCTGGGCCGGATGAGATTTCACCATGTATGCTCAAATCATGCTCTGACGAACTATGTGGTGTTGTTTCAAAGACTTTTAATCAGTCTTTAAAATAAGGTGTTTCCTCTTTTTGTTGGAAGAGTAATTTCCTTCTTCCAATTAGCAAATGTGGAATTAGACATCACATTGAGAGCTGTGGAGGTAGTGCCAAGTTGAATGTTTCATCTAAATTCTTTAAGGGGATTGTTTATTCAGCTTTTGCTGTTATATACTTTTCCATTGAAGTATGGCTTCAGGAAAAGAAAATCTACTGTCACGAATCTCTTAGAGTTTACTTGCCATGTTTTCAAAGCCTTTTCTAGTGGCTCTCGCACGGATATCGTATATACAGATTTTAGCAAAGGGTTTGACTTAGTTAACCATAACACGTTGATCTTCAAACTCAAAGACTGTGGCTTTTTTTTTCCTTAGTGCTCTTATCTGCATAACAGATCATTCAGAGTTTTGTTTATCCTTGGTTGAATTTCCCGTGACGTCTGTCGTCTCTCAACGCAGCCATTTAGAACCCCTTTTACTTAATTTATTCATTAATGATGTCCGCTCGGTGATTAAATCCAGCCAGATCTTAATGTACGCTGACGACGATAAACTGTTTGCTTCCTTCTCCTTAGAATCGAATTCGTATAGCTTCAAATTGACTTAAATAATTTGGTTACATTGTGCTCGCCAAATTTTATGATATTGAATTTAAAAAACTAAGTCAGCAACCTTTTAACAATCCGGTTGATGAAGGAAACGCCTTTCTATTGATCAAGTAATTATAATAACACAGCAAGTTACATCATTACTTCAGGAACATAGTTTCATAATCCGAAAATGGTGCTTAAATGATCAGAACGTTTCAGATGATATTCTACCATCCAATTGTGAACAGTTTTTGGAAAAACAATCTGCAACGAAACGAAAGCTTACTTCAATCATTACATTCGGAATGTTTGGATTTCATTTCAAGTTTCGACAAATTTTTTGCCGCGTTTCCTATCGTTTCATATCGAAGTCAAAACCAACAATATGAATCCATGACATGACATGCATGGATTCCATGTCATGGATGCATGGTTGCATGTATCTACGTTTTATTTGAAGTAAGGACTGTTGTCGAAACCAGCCTGCTATGTTCGATATCTAAAGTAGCACCGCTGGGAGATCTCACCATGCCCATATTCAAATTATCAGCAAATTTACTATTACCGGAGCTTCTAAATATTGTTACTACTTTATTACCCATTGAGCATAAGATTAATCGCTGGTTAGATTCGATGGTCGTCTTCGCATGGTTGCCTGAGCAATCATCTAACTTTAACTTGTTCGTAGTTAACAAAATAAGTCGAATCCAATTGCTTACCGCTAAAATAACATGGCGTTTACGTTACGCAAAGTCAAGGTAATACATTAATAATTCACATAGACTTAAGTTATTAGGTGCTTACATGCCATCATTTTCATTAAAATCTCTATAATTTTTTTCCTTCTGACAACATCCGAAATAACGATATTGGTTTGGTAACGATCCAATCATCGAACCTTTTGCACTTCTTTAGAAGTGCCAGACACGCCATACTTCATCGATCTCAAAGACGCTATGTCTGGTGAGTGCATTGGGTACAGGAGAAGCTCCGTTTTGAGCTCAACAGTGTATCCTTGACAACTCTTGCAACATGTGGCCTAAATGGCATTTTCAGTCAATTCGTGTTGTAGCCATTTTAGTCGATATTGTTGGTCTTGTTTGCAACAATACATCGCTCAATTTCTTCAATTGACGTCGGTAGACATCCGCAGTAACAGTTTCACTCGGCTTTTATCCCATCGTATCCACAGCAAAACTTTATGGCAATGAATATTCCGCTTCGATGTCGATGTAAATGACTCCTGAACTATGATGTTTTGCGCTTGGAATAGTCGCAATAGGCCCACTTTTCATCATCAGTCACAACTCGCTGCAGAAAATACTTCAGACTTTGCCTCCGCAAGCAATGAAACTGCGATGTTGAAGCTGTGCGAAGTGGCATTTTCATTGAATTTGTATGGTAGCCATTTTTCCTCCTTTTGGATCTTTTCCATCGCACGTAAATGCCTAAAGATAGTTAATTCATCAACTGCGAAGCTGTTTGAGAGCTTTTGGAGAGTTTGAGCTGGGTTTTCGTCTAATAAGTCTTGCAATTCATTGTCTTCGAACTTTTCGATCGTCTAGACCGTTCTTTGTCATTGGCATAAAAATCTTCACTTTTAAACCGTTCAAACTAAACCAACGGTTACGATATGATGGGTTAGCATCACCATAAGCTTTTAAAAGTGTTTGCTGGGCTTCGACAACAAATTCATTGAAATCAGACAGCAAAATGAATGTCGAAGATGCAATTTTGAACATTGGGTCATTAACGTCCGTATATACTGAATAACTCAATAATACTATACCGTAAACTGCTTCTTTATGTGGATAAAAGTCTAAACCATTGAATTTAAGCATTGTGTACATTGATACTTCGCGTTATTTTATCATTTTCATCAATAGGTTTCGCTTAAAACATATGGAAGCACCTATTAATTTAAAGTTTTTCTAAGTTGCCTCCTTTTCGCTTGTATGCGCACATATCCATATATGTAGCAGTTGGCTTTAAACATGCATACATAAGTATCAGCTTTCAGTAGTTTTTATTCTTGCGTCTTTCAAACACTAAACATCTAGTTATTACATTATCGCTTGGTTTGACTTAGTACATAAAGTAAAACTAACACGAAATCTTCGAATTCGTTCGTTTTTCTTCTTCGCTTCATTTTTTTCGTCATCTGTAGTAAGGTTAAGTTTATGCGGATGGGTGCAATACTCAGCAGGACTTGAGATAGACCCGCCTTTTATTATACCGAACGATTCACACTCACTTTCTGAACCTATTTAATCTTGTCTGTCAGTTTGTCCGTCTTATATTTTTACGTTCGATCTACATTCTGAAATTTTTAAGATATTTCGATGAAATTTGGTACATTGACGTGTTTTGGCTCAAGAACAAACGCTGTAGCAAATGGTTCGGGTCGGACCATTTTCCGACCCCTTCTGATATGACGCTTCATTCTCTTTTTTAAATTAGTTTCTTGAAATGAGTAAAATTGATGTACACGATAAATCTAGTTTTAAAACCAATAAAAATAAATTATAAAAGTGTTGTGAACATTTCGATAAATGAATATATCCACGCAAGAAACCAGCCAGTCCGTGTATTTATCGTGCTTGAGGACGGTCAAATGGAGCCATGGCGTCTCAGCTGTCTGAAAGTTTTTGATTTAAAAACAATAAGCGCAAGAATTAAAAACAACCTACGTTAAGAATTTTCTATCTAATATTTTGAATGGTGTCGAAAAAATAATTTGCCAAAGAAGGTTAATTAAAAACGGAACGTGACCTCAAGTTGAATTCTGTTCTGCACACTACCCTTAGTTATGGTATTTATATGTATATATAAAGGCCGCTTTTGGCATAAGCTTAACAAGCTATCTATTTGAGATAGCCTTAGGGCAGTTCATCAAACAAATCTCAGCTTATGACGTGCTGCATGATGAAGCACTTTCACTGGCGATGAAAGGTGTACTGCTTACTGTAACATCGGCTGCAAAACATCTAAATAGAATACAGATAATTAAAATTTCTTTCTACAATGTTCAATATGTTCCTTGATGGTATATTTAATTTTACCTAAACTTACATATTCCCTTTTTGAGTGGTCTCTCTAAATTACATTTTCAAACAAGAAAACTAAAAATAAGTCGTGCGCATCAGAAGATCAGCACCAGGTCTGAGCCGAATATAGCCCATTTCCCCCTTCTTTCTTTAGTTACAGATAAAAGAGAAAAATAAACACTTCGTTCCTTTAGAAAAACGCAATTAAATGTGCTGAAAATGTTTGTGCATGAATGCCAGCCAGCCAGTCTGATTAACCGACTAGGCAACTATCTGTTTGCCAGAGTCTATAATAAGTCTTGCAATGAGAGGCTGCTCATCAAACCCTATAAAACATATATTACGATGACCATGTGCATCTTTGCATCTACAAAATACACAAAAAATTAGAAACTAACGCGTAATTTTTGCTTGTTTTGCACTAGACAATATTGCTTGTTCATTTACATTAGAACGTACATCGTCATAAATAGCGAGCAGAAGTGCATACACATACGACAAGGCATATTTAGCGGCTTATCTTCATGATCATCAGAATAAAAAACATCATGATTAAAAGTTTTATGCCCAATACAGCAATATGGGGCTTATCACGTTTCTCCCGTAATTTGTAACGAATAGAAAACCGCATGAAAACTTCTAATAAACGTTATCAAAATTATTCTCTAGGTGGTGAGTCTGCTTCATTCCTCTAAACTTTATTGTTGAAACTCTCAATGTCACAAATATAATAGCTAACACTTCCCGTATATTTTGTTAGTTTATATTCGCAAATTCAAGGTCTGAAACGCCACAAAACAGTAGCAAACTAAAACAGAAATTAAACATTGTCAATATCAACTTAATTGGAGACGAGTAGTTGCTATGGTCACATAATGAGAAAAAATTCAAAATTTGAGTTCTTTTGTTCGAAAATGAGCAGAATTTTAATTTTCGCAAATATTTCGCACGCCAGAATTGACAGGATATCAATTTTTTGGTTTGGAAAGTGTACAACGATTTCAAAGATCATAGTTTGAAAAACGTGTCCTCGAAAATTTCAATTTGCAAGTGTTAGCGTTGGGAATTTAGGAAGCAGCAAGCAAGTCAAATTTTAGCGAACGTATTTTGAAATATTAACGAACCGCTGGCTTCCGGTCAAAGTCAGAAACCGTTATTAAGAAAAATTTTAGATCTTTCTGTTTATAAGAATGGAATTGTGTATTATGAAGAGCTTCCTAAAAACCTCGTTTTTATTATTATCAATTTTTTTTGTTGGTGCAAAGGGACCAAGTGTTAATTTCGACGATAGAGTTTCGGTTCTGAGTTCTGTTTTGAACAACAGAAAGTAAAAAATACTAATATTAGGCAAAAAGGCAGCCAGCTTTCTCATTGACGTCGGTGCGTCACTGAACCATTCGATTTGAGTACCCGGGCGCACGGTGATGCGAACGTATGTGCACGGTGTACGTAATATACGAACGTATGGACTGAGATACTAATTAGATTGATCCATTTATACTAAATGTACTAACACCCTCCACCAGCAATAAAAAAAAAGTCGCGTCTACGTGTGTTTTCGACTTGATGCGTTAACTCATAAGCACCGAAGTTTCTCCTTCTGCATCACATAAATAGCAATTTCTAGTCTAAATATGCTCCTGTTTTTATATACTTTATATTATAATTTTTCCAGTGATTGATTCTAGAACATATGCTGTTGTATTTCTTAACCTGTAGACGATTTGAGTGCATTTTTTCATTGGCTTATGCAGTATGAGAAAATTGTGTTATCACATTCTATTGGTATGCGTTCCTGGAACCACAAAAGGAGAATATCTATCATATATTTTCAAAGAAGCCAATGTATGTATTATTATTATTTATTCGATTTTAGAGATTTAAAAAAGATTTTACCATCATTGAATTAACAACTAAAGATTTCTTGCCGTAAGGTGCATGTTAGATTTCATAACGACTTTTCCATGTTCTAGTCATACCCGCTTTCAGTTCGTTCAAAATGTTTATGTATTTATAAATATTTCTTTTTAGTTCGCCGTATTTAAGACTAACGTTTAAAGCTGATAAATGTAAGCGTTGTTAGCTGCCTAAATGTTTAAGTTATTTTTAAGTCATATTGAAAATTCTGCGTGGTTTTTTCCGCGATGTCATGTTGAGACCTATATATCGGGCAACACTTACCTGATTATTTCAAACAAGCATATGCTAAATTTTTCTTAAGTCATCGGGGGAAACGGCATCGTCACCGTCGAAGGTTTACAACATTCAGAACTCTACAATGTCAGTATATTCTTGATCAATGTCTAATTCTGAATTGATTTACACATGTTCGTCTGTCCGTCTGAGTAACATCTACGTTAAAAATTCGCTGGATCGCAAAAATGAAGATATCGACTACCGGTCAAAAACATCGAACCTAAATAAAATTTAAAAAAAGGCCACACAAAATTACGACTATTCGAAGTCTATGTCTATTTAATAGTTTTTAAGACAAAGGAGGTAAATGTTAAAGATTCGATAGCTGCCAAAAATAAGTTTCATATTTGCTTATTGTCTATTTCTATTGATTGACTACAATTCGATGACTTATTTATATTTGGAATTTCGGGTAATTTCCCATTGGAGGAGACTGCAAATAAGAGCTGTTAATTATTCAATTCGAGCTGCTCTTAGATGGTAGTACTGTGCATTAATTTTCAAATATTTTCTCTTACTGGACGTCACTCCGCTTGAATTTGATATCTGCAGATAATGTTTTCTGCTTTTGTGTATGTAAGTGGCTAATAAGGATCCTACAACTTATGACTTTCCAAAAAATCATATTACCTTCACTAGACGAACGTTTGTAACATATTTTAAGTGTAGTTGCCTCCTAAGCAGGGCTTGAATATTATAAAAACTTAATCTCCAAATAGGGCTAGTATCTAATTCTTCTAAAAAATCTTTACTAAAACTTCTGTAAGCCCCAACTGAAGACAAAAGTAGGTAACTTTTTCTTGCGAAACTATTATTTATTACAAGGAAATAATGTCAAAGCTACCCCCTAAACAAATGCAAGTGTTATCCGTATCCGTGCCGCCCATATGGAATGAAATTTGTTGTATACAAGCTCTAAGGTGATAAATGACGAGTATAGATCATCAACACAATTACATTCACTTTCTGCACACTATTCACGTGACGATATTAGTGAATTACGTATAAAATGTTATTTGAATTTTAATGGATATGTCATCGTCATTATTACTATCATAATACTGAAAACAACATCGTAATGATCATGCTCGTTGTTAATGGTACTGCTTTTATATTGTAATGATATAAAGGGTAAGCACGTCATGAAATACTTTCGTGTAAAAAAGACGAATAAAAGCATGCAATAGGAACAATACTGCTTGCAGCTGTATGTCCACATGTACAGCCACGGCAGGAGAAACGGGTCTTAATCGACTTCTATTATTGTTACATGCTTTAGATGCGAGCACTAATGCGATAGTAATCTATGCATGCATGTACCCAATTATGCACGCGCAAAGCGAACTACATTTTTCTATCAAAATGGTTGGTAATCATGTGTAAAAGAAAGAAAGCACACATACAATTGTACACGTGTGTAACCGTCCGTATATATATATATGTATATATATGGGGGGGCAAGGTTAAAGACGAGGCTTTTATATAACAATAGGAGTTTAATGAAGACCTGAACAAGATTAAGAGAGTTTTAAATTTAAATATTTTCGATTACATAATTCTTTTCTGTTATTTCATTTTAATAGTACTTTTAATAGCATTTCACTGATACCCTTTGCGACTCAATTATAATCTATTCGACAGCTCTAAAGTAAACAGAATTTTATTTGTACATGTGTATGTTTGTATTGGTGTCATGCCGTAGCCATTTAGAAATGCAAAAACGTTGATAAGAGTCGAAAATGTCATTTAATGAAAAATAAATTTTATAATACAACGGTTTTAAGTTTTAAGAACTTTGACTTTAACTTAATGTTTAAACCACGTTTGCCCACTGATAAGCGCTGAAATAAATTGATTTTTGTTTACGTTGGCGTCTCCAAATATGTATATGTACATTCATTTGTACATTTATATATAAAAATAAAATATAATTAAAAAATGTTATGGTTTTTAAATAGGAAAATCATGAAACAATTTTAGTTTTATTTTGTATAATTATCAATTCGAGGGTTGCTAAGAGGAATTTTTATGACCGCCAAATAACTAAATTTTAGATTGGCAAGCTAAGTTTTTCACAGCGCCTATATCGTCTAGATTTTTTTTGCTTTTTTTTTTTGGTGTTTCGCGATATCTTCTAATTTATCGATTTTTAATATTTCGGTCTAAAACTCATTTCCATTGAAATTTCTTTGACTTTTTCATGTATAGGTGTAAAATTAAGTTGCAACTAGTTCGAAAAATGTCATTGTTCTCTAATGCGTGATCTGGCTTGTACATTTTCATGTTATCGTTTGAAAGAAATTTTTGTGGAGGTTTTCGTAATCAATTTTCAAAAGTGTTTCAAGATATAATGACAATGATCCTATTGCCGAAATTGTTCAAATCTAGAAAAAAAGGTAGACACAAAATAACGAATTGAAAAGAAACCATATGAAATTGTTCACAAATCAAAGCTAGACACAAAGGCAGACACAAAATAGCGAATTGAAAACATATGAAATCGTTCACGTAACCGCCTGAAAGATGTAGTACTCGCTCAACGAAAACAATCTTGCACTTCATCTTTCGTTAGTTCTTCATTGAAGTTTTATATGAAAGGGTTTTCGATTTAACCCATTCAAGAACGAAAAAAAAAACATCACACGATTAATTTTCTACAAACGATTTTCGATCGTTTGGCATTTAGGTATAAATTAAATAATAATGAAAAAAACACTCCTTGCAAATTGTTGGCCAAGAATATCTTTAACATCGATAACGAGTACAACAACAATAAGTGTTGCAGTTTAACGTTTTTATTTAAATGAAACACTTCACTCACATTCTGTCACTTTAGCCAACAAAAATATGTAAAAAAAAGGAAAGCAAGAACTAATCTGTTGAAAATATTCTGAAAAAAGACATAAATGAATAAAAAATTCAAAACAAAAAACGAAATGCATCTAAATGCCGAGCGCGTCACTGTCAGAGACAGTTACAAGAATGTGCATACGTTTTCAACAAAGAAAGACGTACAAAAAAGAATTAAAGTGACTAAAAATCAGCGCAAATAAGTGTACTCCGAGATATAAACACATATTTGCATGGATGCATTCAATTTTTTATGTTTGACGCAAATCCCTCTTTACTGTGTATTACTAATGTTTATCGTTCAACTAGAGGAGGACATGGTTCTTTCAAACAGTGAGGTTAATAATTCTAAATCTAGCTTCATACAATATTAAATGAGTCGAGTCGAGTTAGGGCTAAATTTTCACAGATTAAAAATGTGTATGAGCGTTTTCAAAAGAATGTTGTTGCACGTTCAACGTTTCTTTCCTTTGTTGCTTCTGATTTTGATCCATGGTATGAGGTCGTTGATTTCTTTGGTCTATAGTGGATGTATACACCAACCAAGATATAAAAAGGGAAGGTGACATTTATAGGGTTGGCAATGCTTTCGTCAATGCCTTTCTCTTTGTCTCTTCACATTATATTAATCAGTTGGAGAAATTATAATTCTCTAATCCCCCGTCGGTTCGTTTTTTCCCGCTGTCAAAGTAGCTGCGAATTCTTTCTGTTGAAGCCCCTTCGCATTTCTGAGATCTGAAGGTCTTACTTTAGGAGTTTCTTATTGATGCCATGTAGAGGATCCCGTTCTGTAACGACTATTTTACAGAAACCCCTTTCTGTACGATGAAGGAGAAAAGGTTCCCTTCTTGTCTCTAAAAACCCTGTACAAGCTGCTATCCCCATTCAGTTAGATTTTATGATATTAAGGAGTAGGCGGAAGAGACAGTGGTGGAATCTAGGATATGTCGATGTACATTCTACTTAGGCGAAAATTCTTGCGACAACATAAATTTTGGATGGCTTTTCGAAATGTGTGAAAAATCCGCGAGCGTACAGTTTTGCCGAGAGTTAGCCTATTTTAAAATTCTCAGCGTCCACGACAACCAAGTTACCCAAAGAGAGAACATCGTTTGTTTGACTACTGGGTGCAGTTACTACTTGGAATTTCGTGTCGGGTGCGAATAAGCCAAAGTTGCAGGAGCATTCTGTAATGTAAGTAAGTGAGTAAGAATTTAGTTTCAAAAATTTATTTATATCAATTTTTGCTTTCCGGTGCTCCAGAAGCAATAGGACTCTCAATTAGGGAGAGCGATGACCTACTCACCGGAGGGAACCGCTTATCACTTAGTATTAAAAATGTTCCGCAGGAGTCAAGCTGTCTATGAAGCGAAATGACTTTAAACCTCTAACGGAAACTGCGTCTGTAAACTAAATTTGGCAGATTTGCATTTATTTCTAAGGGATCATAATCCTTTGGATCTTAAGTAGTGCTCCAATTGATGGGGATTCAGGATTCGCCCTAAGGGGATAAACTTTCTCACTAGTGTTTTTATTCACTTTGATTAACAAGTAGAATAATCATCTATAAAGACTACACAATTTGGCAGACAGTTTTCAAAGTCTTTAAAATAGAACATCAAATGGCAATTGACAGTGGACTATAGTATGGTTTCAGACGGTATTAACAAAATTTATTTATATATAGATATACGTATTATTGAGATTTGTATTGAAAGTGATCGTGTACTACATCGAATAGAAGTTCAATGACCATATATTTTACTTAAGATTGATTTCAAATTATATAAAAAAAAAAAGAAATTGATTGGTGATTCTGTTCCTGTTAACAAAAGTGAAAAAAGAAGTCAAAACAAATTTTACCTATTAAAGCATATATAGTCATAAATAAAACAAAAAGAATTGATGCGTTCAAACGGTAACCTTCATTTTTTTACTTATCAAAATATACAGCTGGAAAAGAAACGAACATGAGAGTAAACCTAGCCGTTAGTATAAACGTTAGAAAAAAAGATACCATATTTGTGAAACAAACATGGTTTTCAAAATTCAGATCAATATGCCATATATTTTATAGGTAAAGAAGTTGCAAAAACAAAATTTTTAGAATACATAGTAAGCAATTTCGAAGGTTATATATGGTTGCACGTGAACCTTTTATATCCTTAGCTTAAAAAAAATTAGGAAAAAACAAATAAGAAGATTATATTCGGCCATACGGAATCTTTTGCCCCCACCTAACTCAAAAAGACTGGTCCAAATAAAATTCGATTGTCTACAGTATTAGTTGCACGAAGGCGATTTTTTCATTTTTGTACTGTAAAAGATACGTGAAAATTGTTGTAATTGATCAGTAATTGGCAAAAACTCCAAATTTTTGTTTGTTTGCAAAAGTAGAGATCAGTTTATATTGTACACTTGGCTTTTCCTCTGACAGATTTGTCCCGTTTATAATAGTAACCTGTGTTTTAAGAACTTGCAATATTTTTGCAAAATTTGAAGCTATCATATTCGTATAGAAAATTTTTACCGCGGGTTATTTCACAGGCAGGCAGCCATGATTAGTTCAATTTAGGATTTAACATGAATTCCTTCCGTGCGCTTTCTAATGAAAAATGGGTGTAGCCCTAATCTCTGGTGATAAATATAAAGACATCAAATTGATCATTTTTACGTTTTTGGAACGAATAAACAAATACAGTTAATTTAGTTGAGACACACGCGCCAACTAGATTTCGTGATGTAAGACGAGTTATAAACGTAGCTTAACCAATTGCGAATTTTTCGATATGAAAATATGTTGTTTATTTATTTATTACTAAAATGTAAATGGGTGTATACAGCAAAGTCGAAATCCCAGGCCTACAAATTTCTAAGCAACGTCGTGCACCAAATAACAATATTTATGATAAAAGATATATGCGTGTATATTTGAACATACGATTTTACGATTTTTTACGCAGCCTTAAGGATATTAATCGTACAGAAGATATAAATTGCTACGTACATTCATACTACTACATTCATTTGGTTCTGATCTTCGGACTAACACTTCCTTTCTCTATTATTATTGTGGTTATTATTATGTGTGACAGAAACTTAACATTAAACAGTAGTAAAGACATATTATTCGAGATTCTGGCAGTTACAAAGAAGTATCATACTTCCCAGAAACAAATGAAGAAAGGAGTATAAAATTCACCGCGATAGCCACGGAATTCAAATGGAGTAAAAAGATTAAATATTCGCTTATCTTACAACATATGAGCGTTTATACTAACGATCGCGTCAAACTTCGAACTCTTAAGATATTAACTTGAACTTTGTCGAATCGAACCTAAAGCACGCGGTTCCAACATGCAAAAGATAATTCTAAAATGAGAATTTGTTGGTCGCAAAAGAGCAGGAACTTGAAACTTTTACTCAATTAAAAAATGTATCGGCTATTGTGAGGAGAAACAGAGATAGTTATATATACACAAAAGATCAAAATTTTATAAAATGACGAAAGAGCATTTTAGAAAAAATTTGCTTATATCGCTTAGCGAGCTCAAACCACTTTCCATTGCAGGTGAAATTAAGAATTATGCCAAAAATTTTTCAAGTGGTAAGTGTTAAAAAAGTAAAAACAAAAAAAGTCATTCACTCGTACATTTTCTCTTCTGGCACATACATGTAGAACATATGCATTTATACTTAAATCTATTAAACTCATGTGCATATTTTCATCAGTATGTATCGTTTACAGTTAAAGTTTTACAGTTAACACTTTGCCTTGTAGCAAAGCAATCACATATAATAACGTAAAGTTGTCTAGTCGCTAACAGCCTGTATTATAATTTGCTCCACAATATGTCGATTGTGGACTCAAAATATAACTTATCGTCAAAAAAATGACACTTATCACCTATGTGTGCGTTTATACATACATGTGTTGAAGTTATACATTTTTGTATAGTGCGGTATATTATGTATTCCTGTTGTCAGGCTATTACAATTTTCTGTGCGTTCACATCTTGTCAAGTTGGTGATCGGATTTTAGCTTCTTGTTACAGTTGATCGTGTTCTGCCTTCGCTAATGGACATTTGCAACAGTGAACTTAATCGGAAATAAGATAAATTCCTTTTTTATGAAAATTTATGTGTTGAATAAATTCATCAAAATTAAAGCTTTTGGTGCAGTTAAAGAACGTGTTTGAGAAAAAAAAATCGTGTAGTAACGAGTGCATATTTCAACCGATAATTTTTATTATTTGTCATCACGTTTGCATATCTTCATGAAGGTGATTTTCTAGAAAGTTTACAAAAGCAAATGTAAAAAAAAAAAACAATTTACGATTTTATTAAGTTGTAATTACACTTTCTTTCATAATTATCATTATATCCAACAAAAGAGAAATTGATAGGCAAGACAAAAAGAAGATTCGGTGAATTAGTAAATATAAATAAAACATATGTACAACAGGGCCCTACAAAATAAATAAAATAGATTTATTGGTATATGGAATAAACGAATCGATTGATCTTTACAGTCGCTTACAATTGCTTTTAAAAATTTTCCCAAGTCTTCGATTATAACAAAACACAATTTCTTTTATTTATTACTTAGGAGTTAATGTAATACCCTTTAAGTTTATTAGTTCTTATTAATACATTCAAAAAAATTAATGTTATTTGTAAATATCTACCTTTTCAGCAGCTTTTGAACAGCTTTAAAAATTCAGATACCTGCATATTAACTACATTAGGAATATATTTTTTACTATGTGCATACTTCGATCTTATCGTACCGGTGTCTTATCACTTTACTAGGATGACAAATAAACTACTAAAGAAGAAAAACGATGTTCTTGTGCTTTACCAAAGTGGGTGACGGCTGTCATTTAAAAAATTTTCGTCATATTTTAGAAGGGAATTTAAATTCTTTTCTTATGAACACTACTTACATACTTCGTGTTTCTGTTTCATTTTCTCCCTTTGTTTCATCCAACTACAATAGTTAATAGAATATGCACGTACAGAAAATTGGAAATTTTTTAATTTGTTCACAGTACTTTTGTGCTCAAACACTACGTATCGATCAATCCCGTTATTCCCGTTTATCAAATTGCATGGTGGTTTTCGCGTTCTGGCATGCATTCGCTCTCACATACACTTTCATTACTCTAAAGTTTTAGAAAAACACTAAACAAATCCGAGAAAAAGCGGATATTAACGAAGTGTAAATACGTGACTCTTTGTCACTCTTTCTTTTTTTGGAGGACATCCATACATGATCAAAGGGTAAAATTGGGAATTTCAAATGTGTCGTTCGAGATATCCGAAAATTGATTAGTGAGCAAGTGGTGATACAGGCAAATTGTTAACTCTGCTCAGCAATTATTAGTGCTTTACAATCGCACTCTTAGGAAGTTTTTAAGTATGGTTTTTAAATAGAAATGGGGCAAGCTAAAATTACTCACATCGAAAGCGCCAGAGATGTGAAAAGAACGAGACAACAGACATACACGTTTGGCATTGTGTAAAATTTGATAACGCTTTTTATTGCCTGTGGACACAGGTTCTCTACAGTGTATCTATTTTCGTATGCATATAGGCTTTGTGCCCTTCATTATTCGAAGTACATAAAACACGTCTTCGAAGTAAAATAAAGGTCAATGTCTGAGACTATTATTTTTGAGTATTCTATACATTCCAATTACGGTTAACGTGCAGTTGTATTGTAAGGGGCCCTCAGCGTTGAAGAATTTTACATGCCAACTTTACAGTAAAGTTTGAACGAAGCGTAAGTTTATTGAAATATAAACGATCTCCATTGTTACTCTCTTCTTGTCTCTCTCAGTCTGTCCGTCTCCCTCCGGCCTAATAACTCCTATTAGGTATACATGTGTGGTTTGAGCGTTTGAAGGCGAACGGTTTGATCGATCATATGCGATGCTTATGTGTGTTCGCACTGTGTACGTATGCACATAGCGCGTGGAGAAAATGTAGAGGTAGGCAGCGAGGTGCGCTAGTTGTATAACTTGCGCACCACACTTTTTAAGTACTCAGTCATGTGGAATTTTTAAGTGGAGCCCGCCTATTTCTAGTCAGTTAAACGGTAGCATTTGTAGTGGAACGTATTGATTGTGTTGGAAGTCGTGTCGTACTTTATTTATATTTAAATGATTTATTAGTGATTATCAATTATCAATGATCCTTTAGAATATTTGCTAACGATACAAAGTGTGAACTGAAGCCAAAATACCGTAATTAATATAAAACAAATGATGATTGCTTTTTATATTGGAAAATATTTTGCAAACTTAAATTATGTTGTTTAAGTCGGACAAAAAGTTAAATTTCCAGTATTTGAGCGGAGGGAAGTTATCAATCGCAGAGTATGTAATAAGTAAGCAATACAATAAATATTCTATTAGTGCGTTGGTCTTAAAACGTAAAGGACATCTGTTCACATCTTACCGGGCAGCATTAGATTTCATTGAACTAAATTTCTAATACTGTCAGGTAAAGATGTCGTCCGAGTCCTTATTCAACGAACGATTTTAAATTATGCAAAACCGCTCGATTCAAAATTATAATGAAAAATTCAAAAGTTAAGCTTATGGTTTGAATAAACTAAATAAACCCCCTTTCTAGCGCACTAATCTTAAGATACGATCGGAAAACGAATATTGAAATCTGCGTACATTGTGTATATTAAGTGCTTCTTAATACGAACTGACAAAAATTAATTAGTTAAATATGTGCTGTTTTTTTCATTGTGTTTGAATGCCCATCAAAATTTATCGAACATCCTTCATAACTTTAAGTGCAGGATTGCCAACTTTTTTGAAAAGTATATAAATTATAATATAATACCTGTTATATATAACACCTGATATATATATATATAGATAATATACACTTTTTCATATTAGATATCGACTTGCCGTTGATTTGATACTCTGGCAATTTGTAAGTTCTCCAATAATTTTCAAAATTGTTATAGTTACTCAACCAACGATAATTTTATGAAAAATCGTGTAGATATAATATATATGAAGCTTTCAATTTTCAGAATTGTTCTTTTATATTCTCTTTCTCAACAGAGTCATACAAGCGCTGCAATAATTACGTTTACAAGTTCCCTTTTAGTCAGTGCTGTACTAAAAAGATTTGAGTAAGATTGAAAAAGAAAATAGTTCGCTAAAATATAATTGACTTGCATAAGATGTAATAAGGCGCCTGGGACTACACGCGATTGGTTTTTAAATTTAAAAAATACTCTCTCCAACGCCCACCAAATTTATCCAAATCACAAAATTACATTTTCTTTATCCATTGTGCATAGTTCATCAAAGCTAGAGTCCTGCGAACCCATATGTTAAGCATAGCTTTCTACAATTTCATCATGCTTGTTATCAGAAGGTGGATGTATTTTAATTGAATGTCTTCTTTTTTATTTCTAAAAACACGACATTTTTAATAGGTTTTATAATTGCAAAATTATTCAACTTATATAGATATTGCGCTTTAAAATGATTACGTTCAAAAAGTAAGGTTTCTTACGTCGCCAAAGAGAAAAAGCTGCAGCAATTTTTGTGATATTAAAAGAATTACGCTCGCACAGCGGCCGCAATTCCTAACAAAGTCAAAAACTTATTTAGACGCTGTAGTACATGTAATGCGTCTACTGTAAATTGTTAGCGACTAGTTGTATTTACCACATTTACGTTTTGTTCTTTCCTAACATTCGAAACTGCCATCCAGAATTCGTATAACTTAGATGAGCGCATGGCTGCGAATAATCCACATAGCGCCTACGTGTAGAATTCATAAAGTTGCAATAATTAATATGAAACGTTTGGTAAAGTTGTTTTCCTACTTCGAATCCATAGGGTAAGTCTAAAAACTAGTGCTTACATATACAATCATAACATTTAACAGAAAACTCCGTCTCAATCCAATTCAGTTTCAACATTGAATCTTGTGCTTAAATTTTCCAAAACTTTCTATCGTGGTCATCGTTCAATCCAGAACGTACGCGCACGCCCATTGCGAAAAATTTCATTATTTCAGTATGCAGTGTCTAATGTTTTATACTTAACTTCAGTAATGAAAAAGTACTGTACTGTAAAAAGAATATATTTATTAAATGTTGGTCAAATATTTTAAATAATTTTTTTAGTTATTATCAGTAATGGCGAATACTTAACATGTTGTTTTTCTTTTTAATGAAGTCTGATTGTTTAGGTAATAAATTCACACAAACTTCAGATAACTGTTTGTCTGATAATGCTATGAACACGCGTGAGCATTTAGTTGGCTTGAAGGTTTGAGGGGACTTGGCACATTTTTATGAGAGTTTTTAGTTTCTATTATCGGTTTGTTGGAATTAAAATAAAGGATGCGTTTTTTCTGAAATATAAATATGAATTAAAAACCATTCGGAATGAGAAATAACTGCAAGTTTTTTCCCCCTTTACAATACCGGCTCGACACCGGTCATTTGTGCAGTCTCTCTTATAGATAACTCTCATGTGTTTGAGTCTAGTCAAGAGCAAGAAAGCAAAACTATTTTGCTTTGTTTATGGCTGCCATCTAACAAAATTAGTAAAATATGTTGTACAAAACCATGTTACAAACCAAGAAGGTAATTAAAAATAGAGAGACATACATACACTGGTCAGCAGCAAACATAGCCAAACGTGCAAAGAGTGTATGGATTTTTAAAATATGTTACGAATACATTAACGAAATTCATATACTTGCATATTCAGATGGTGGATGTGTAATAATAATAAAGACAACAATTTCAGTTTAAACCATAAACGTGTTATAACGACAACAAGTATTATCAACAAAATAGCAACTTGAAAATTGTTAAGTATGGAAACTTTTAATACACTGGTCACTCTTAAACAGATGTGCGATGTGCTAATCGTGCTGCTGTAGACAACTTTCGTAATGGTTTTTGTAACATTCGAAAGAACGTTCAACAGTTATCTTATTATACATGTATTATTGGTCGCTGTAGGATACTGCATCAATTCAACTCTGGCTGTCTGTTCGATATTCAAAACCATATGCTATAAATCAAAGAAACTCATATCGAAGCACTTATCAATTAGCCAATAACTACGTATTAAGGAATTCGAAACTTCTCACAATCTAAAACCAAATAGAATTCATTTTAACCAAAATAAAAGGAATGCTTGGGATTAAAAATTTTCTACATTGAAAATAGTGAATTGTGACTATAGTAATATATATAATATATATATTTTTCATATATATACGTAACGAGCGAACAATCACATATCGAGTAGTAGATATGCTTACATATAGGATAACATATTAATGGAAAATATTGAATGATTCAGCTTAAAAGTAATGCAATGAATAACGAACTAAGTTTAATGTATGTCGACGCATTTATGTGCGCATCCCAGTTTGTCCCGTCTATCCAGTCCATTTGTCAGTGGCATGCTATGCATTCCAAAATATAATATATCTTTGTATACATCTAGAACTAGTAAACCGAAAGAAGAATCGTTAGTAGAATTCTAAAATCCAACAAAATATGTGTTTGTATACATGCATCACCTACCCCGGTGAGTGGCTGTCGCTGTTAGATGCTGATGAGTATTCGTGTCAGGCATTGATTATTACAAGTGATGCGAGCTACTATATAAACAGCTCGATTACATTCATGCATGCATGCACTCGTTTAATAGTTATTTTATTCAAACCATAGAAATTAGAAATGTTTCGAATCGAGTCCTTAATAATTGGAAGTTTTTCATAAGCACGGTTTTGCTTTTGTTAAAGCCTATTATATTGTAATATTGGCGTTTAATTCATTTCAAAAGGAAAGAAAAATAACATGAATTTCATGAAATTAATTTTTGACCTCACCGTTCTTAAGTCTATTTATTTAAGTCTACTACGCTCCTCCAAACGCGGAAATAAAACTTGTTTTATCCGCATATGAAAAAATTATATATTAATATTCTCTTTCACTGCGCTTATCATCGCAGTTTAGCACTGGTTATGGTTGATAGGGACGACTTTTGCATTTTTAATATTGTTTATATCATTACTGAACATACATGCTTACACACAACATATACATACATGCGTATACACATAGCATTGGTCGTTTAGGTTGGAGAGCTCATTAATTATGTTAGTAACAATGTAAGAAATTCTTGCAGATGGGAC